GGGGGAACCGCGGTCATCCTGCGCGGTCCGGAGCCGCGCCCCCGAACACACCGAGGGGCCGCGGCGGCTCTGCGGGCAGTGGCGGCCTCACAGCGCCGACCCGAGCCCCGCGAGGCTTATTTTGGTGCGAGGTTATGTTAGAGTTTTGAGAGTTGAGTGAAAAAAAATGTTTTTTTGAATGCTGTCTTGAACCTGAGATTCTTTTCTTGAACATTCGGCAGTAATTGTAATGAGCGGTTACCGTGTGGCTTCCTGCCTTTTAATGACATAGGTTTAGTAAACAGTTGAGAAGAAAGCTGGGCTGTGTATTTTATTTTATTATTACTTTTCGGATCAGACAGTAGTGTTTTTATCGGAACTCTCTTACAGGAATTTTGAAACAACCTTTTAGTGAAATGAAAGAGTGTTACTGGAAAGTTGGGAAATGAAATAGTCATCCTTGAAAATGTAACGGGTAAGAACATTTACCTGTGCTTCCATTTGTGGATTATGGGCAATACAAGTGCAACCAAGTAGAATGGGCTGTTTTGTTTTGTTTTACATTACTGTAGAGATATAATTGTCAGTTATGCTTGTGAGCCAGAGATGCAGAAAAATTCCAACGTCTTTTGCTGTGAAAAGATTAAATTATGTTAGGTGTAGTTGTAATGTTAAATTTGCATTGTATTCTAATTGTCAATTGGTAAGTTATATATGGCATAAAGTGTGTAATAGAGATGTTTAAAACAATTAATTCATCTCATCCTTTACAAGGCCTTCCTATTTGTTAGATGTTGTTTACATGTTTAGCTTTTTCATTAATGCACCCAAAGCGGTAGTTAGAATACAAGGTCTACAACGGCTTTACGCTTCTACTCATTGTGTGAATTTATATACACATTTTTGTTTTACTGTATTCTTTTTCCTTCCCAGTTATTTATTTTGAAAAATTTCAAATTTACAGAAAAGTTATGAGAAGAGTGCCCTGAATGTCTGTAAACCTCTCCTCCAGGGCACCATTCTGCCTTGTCTGTGTGCTTCCTCACTTGTGCTCTGGTATTTTCTCTTTCTCTAAATTATGTGTTTTTTTTTGCTGAGCCTTTTAGGAGTCAACTGTAGACATCATTACATTTCACCACTAATAATTCGGCAGGTGTCTGCTAAGAATAAGAACATTCTCCTACATAATCACAGCACGAATAACATGATACGATACTGTTATGTAATGTGCAGTCTGTATGTCACAATTTCCCAATTATCCCAATAATATCTATTACAGGTGCTTTTTATTTTTTCCAGAATCCCAGTCAAAAATCACAAATTGCATTTTTTCTCTAATTTTCTTGTTTAGTATGATTGCTATTTTCCGTGTATCAGAACCTGACTATGACATGTAATAACCATTTACAGTTGGAGCTTGTGAGAGAGGAGGTCATCTCTGTCGTCTGGTGCTGATGGATAGGGGTGGGGGTGGAGGGTCTTCTGCTATTTATGACTTGGAGGTTTGGGGGAGGAAATTCCATACAGATTCTGTTCCTTAAAGGAAATCTTAGAACACATCATGATTTTGACATACGAATGGCTTTTGAGGGGATAGATAAGTGTTTTGCAGTAAGAAAATGGCAGAAAATAGAAGCTAAAATTAATCTGTCAGTCGCTAGATAGCATCTGATTCAAGTTCGAAACCCCATAGAATCAGCTCGGCCACTGTTAGGTTCGCAAACTGCATTTTGTTGTAATACCTCTTTGGTCTCCTTTAATCTGACAGTGTCTTGCCTTTCTTGTCTTTGATGATGACATTTTTTGAGAATGCAGGCCACGTGTTTTGTCTGTTTCCTCATCAATAGCTTTAGCTTAAATATGTTTGTCAGGGACACGTCAGGTGACGTGTGTCCCATCTAGAGTGCCCAAGGTCAGCATGGCGCAGTTCTGTTGAAGCTTGGTTTGATCGTTTGATCATTCCATTTGGTCACCTTGGCCTCTTACACCCTTCATGCTCCTCTTCCGCCCTTCATGCTCCTCTTCCTAGAGTCAACCACTCTTAACAATTTCTTTTGTGTCTGTATATGTATGTGTATGTATATATGCAGAAATAAACATGTATCTATCCCCCTTTCTAAAAACACTAATCTTAGCATGTATATATATGCATCTATGCACATTGTTATATGTTAGCATTTGCATTTTATGATTTATATGCTTTAAACTTCTAGGTTTTTAAAGAATATATCAAGTATTGTTTGATATGTTCTTTTAGATGGCCATTTTGGTGGTTTTAATCACTTGGTTTAATGGTAGATCTTTATTCTCCTTTCCTTTACCTTAAAATCCAGTCTGAGAACTGGTGTAACCGATGGTCCTTCAGATTTGTCCTGATCATTAATTAAATGCTTAACAAATAGTTAACAGTGGGGAGAATATTCCAGAACAGGAAGTCACAGAGGGTCATTTCAAAGTTAAATGAGGTAATCTTTGTAAAGCTTATACCATAGTGTCTGGTAAGTGGTAAAATGTGACTGAGTTAGTATTTGCTATCCCAGTGGATGGAAGGCAGGGATGGAAAAGAGAAAGAATGACAAATATCAGTCAGATATTTGAAAAAATGTACCCTTACCTAACGTAGTGGGAGTACTGATCTTTTTTCCTGCCTCAACTTTTTAGTGGCTTACTCAAAACATACCTATAAAAAGAGAAAAAACTACAGGTTCTGGAGATAGTAACATTTTGCTATTATATCACAGAATTTTAAAAATTATCTGTTGTAATTGCAGTGAGGTTTAAGCTTTCTGTCCCACATAAATGCCAGTATTTTTATAGAATGAAAGTTGTGAATTACCTCAGATAACCTTGCTCCATGCTCTCCTTCCTTGTGTGCATATCAGCTTCTTTTTTTATAAATAGATGCATCAACTAGCAACTTTTTCTTTTTAAATAAAATTAGGTAAAAGTAGTGTAGGCTTGTGATAAATTCAAACCATGAAAGGTGAATCCTCAGGATCCTTCCCTATGTGGCAGAGTCAGTCCTGGTTAACATTTCCTTAGATGTGTACTTCCATACATTTTCTGGGCATATTGTGTGTGTGTGTGAATATGTATTTGTTCTAAAACTAGATATGATTATATTAAATATGTTGTACTATAACTTGTTAGGGTGATGCTTCAATGAAGATGTTTGAACGTAGATCTTTGAGTAATGCTTCATGTTTATCAATGGCATACATTCCTAGCAGTGTACTTAAATGGGTTAAAGGGTGCAATCAAAATTTAGAGATTTTGTAAGTATTTTTTTGAAGTGTAATTGACCCACAACACTATGTTAGTTCCAGGTGCACAGCATAGTGATTCAGTATTTCTATACATTAAAAAAATGATCAGCATTTTTTATGAGTTTATAAATAATTTTATATCCTTTTGTGTTTTCATGTTTGGTAATTCAGGTCACAATTTTCCTCACTACACCAAGTACTTAATTCCGTACAGCCATTTTTACTGAAGGTTCCTGACTTTGTTTTAGTAATTTGGTTTGAATTACATGATCTGTCAACGAGAGTGGAAGTTAGAAGCTGAAACCTCTTCCTTTAAACTCTAATCGAGAGTTGTACTCAGTAATTAACCCCCTCTTATTCTTTTCACCTCTCTGCTGGTGAAGCCCCATAGTTCTTGATGCTTATCACCTACCTTGATTAAGACCTTTAGAAGCAGTGCTTGAGTACAAATGTTTGGATTTGGGTGTGATGAGTTGTGAATTTCACAAAAAGTGAATTTGATCTCCACTGTCGCATGTTAGTAATTTTATTTATTTATTTTTGTGTGGAGAGGGAAGTAATTAGGTTTATTTACTTATTTATTTATTTTTTTAAGGGGAGGTACTGGATCCACCGTCACACTTTAAAGATGGCGTAAATTCCACTGAAACAAGCCTTGGTTTGGTAAAAGTGAATAGAACCTTAATGAATGTGAACAGACTTACTTGTCCTCCTGTCTACCCTTTTCATATATATGTTCTTAAATTTTTCTCTGTCCTTGAGTCTGGGTGGTTTTTTGGGTTGGTTTGTTTTTGAGTGGCTGCTTCCTCTGTTCCCAGCAATGTGGGGCTGGATTTTTTTTTTTTTACTGGCATAGCTTTGTGTTGTTCTCTGTGTTCCTCTTGTTTCTCATCTAATTAGAGTCTGTGAAGATACGGCAGATCCTGTTGGAGAGAATAGGAAGACACCGTCCCTAAGCGTTTTCCCTGGGATGCTTCTCTTTTTCTCTTTGCTATCTTTCATCCTGGTTTTATACCCAGACCTTCTGTCTGTTGGACGAGCCACAGAGGAAAAAGCGACTCTATCTACCACAGCCGCATCCGGGGCTGTGGATCCCACCATTGCTTGCTGGTCATGTGACCTGGAGCCAGCCTAGTTATTGGCGCACACTTGGAGTTTGTAACCACTTTAAAATTCAGAGTTGATTGTTTGTTTTTAAGTGAGTCTGCTTAACTTATCTGTGATGAAACAAAAATTGGAATTTGTCATGTAAAATTCATCTCTCCTCTCTTCTCAGGTCTGAATTCTCAGTCCACCACCCGCCTTTCAGTGACTGGGCTTCTTCCCTGCTGGGAACTTCACGTCTGTCTCCCTTTAAACCGCTCTTGTAGTGTTAAGAGAGTTGATTTTAAACTCGTTGATTTTAAAGCATATCATTTTTAATGGCTCCATAATATTTCAGCTTGTGGCTATTCCATAATTGATAGATCATTTTCTTGACATTGAATATTTAAGTTTTTAGCATCCTTGCTGTTGTAAGACTGTGACGAACATCTTTGTCTCTAACTGTTTGTGTCTGATGATATCCTTGGGATAGAAACCAAAGGATGTGGACTC